CCCTCAGTGTCGCGCCCGTACCGGACTGGGACCAGCAACGGGATCGCAACCCTCGGTGTTGCCCCCGCTCCTCGCTCAGCCAGTGAGCTGCCGGTCTGCACATGGGATCCGAACCCTCGGCGGGAGCGCCGCCGCACTTCCCAAGCGGCGCACTGTACCAGTGCGCCACCGGGCCGGCCCTGTCATCTAAATTTTTAACTGAACTTCTTTTACAAGAAGTATGACACCACGAGGAAGGAATCAGAAAAATAGAGAATATGAGATAAGACAACTGGGCTACATCTATAAAAAGTCAATGTCATTCCTGACAATGGTTATTGTTTCTTCTCTCCTTAATTAGCCTACCTTGACAAAGATTTATCAATTTTATTGACCACATCAAAGAACCAGCTTTTGGTTTCATAGATTTTTCCCTATTTATGTTTTTTGTTGTTTTCAGTTTACTTGACTTTTACTTTTTATTATTTGTTCCTTCTGCTTGCTTTAAGTTAAATTTGCTCTTATATGTCTAGCTTCTTAAGTTTTTTAAGAAGCTTAGATTATTGGTTTGAGATGTACTTCCTTTCCTAATATAAGCATTTAATACTCTAAATTCTCCATTAAGCACTGCTTTAGATGAATTTCATGAATTTTTATGTTGTGTCTTCATCTTCACTTAATTCAATGTATGTTCTAATTTCCTTTTAGACTCCCCTTTGATGCATGAGTAAAATGTATTGTTTAATTTCCAAATATTTGGGGATTTTCCAGACATCTATTATTAATTTCTTTTTTTTTTTTTCTTTAAAAAGATGACCGGTAAGGGGATCTCTGTTGGGAGCCTGAAGCCCCACACCCCTTCTTGTGAGACCACTCCTACGTGACAATCTGCTCAGATGGCCGTGCTTTACATGATAACTGCCTCGAAATCTTTATGCCAGAAACTGATTGCTCCTGGCTATGCAAGTTAATTTGCAAGTGACCTTTTATCCTTCTCTAGAAACTGTTTAACCATAAACATTCTGGGTGGCAACCTTTACTTTGAATGTCCTGTCTTTGTCTCTCCTCAAGATATTATCATATCTTTACATTCCAGACCCTTTGCAGCATGCCTGCCTTCTCCTATATAAGATGTAACCTAAGAATCAATAAACGAGACTTGATCAGAATACTGTCTTGTCTCAATTTCTCGTGTCTCTTGTCCCATCCAATTCCCACTCCCCCCTCCAGGGTCTGCGTTGAATATCCCGCGGGTCGGGACATTTTTGGCGCCCAACGTGGGGCCTGGATACGGGGGACAAAGTGAGGAAGAAGGCGCATAGGAGGGTCGACCACTGAAAATGAAAGAGTAAAACCTTCATCCGCCGCGGGAACCTGCTGCGTCAGGATAAGGTGAGTAAGAGCGCCTGATAATGGGACAAGAATTAAGAATTAAGAATCAAAAATTAAGAATTAAGAATTAAGTTGTCATGACGTGTACATAAGACAGTTACAAAAAGCTTTAAAGACACGAGGAGTAAAGGTTAAAACAAGTGATCTATTAAGATTTTTTGATTTCGTGAAGAATTTTTGTCCTTGGTTCCCAGAAGAAGGGACTACTAATTATAAAAGGTGGTCTTGAGTTGGAGATATCTGTGGGTTCCGGGGTGCTGAGGATAGAAGCTGAGATAGCAGAGTGTGAGATATTAGTGGCCCAGGAGACAAAAGTGGAGACTTCAGGGGTCTCAGGGCCAGAGGCTGGTGAGGCAGGAGTCACAGCATGAAGAAGTTGCAGATAAGTTTTTCTGTTAAGAAAAGAGAATACAGTGCTAGGAAGTGTAAATAGCGAGCAGCTTACTAAGATATTGCTTAGCGTTTTAGGTTTGTAATTTTGATAATGTTAAAAGATATGAGGAAAAAGGAAGACTTAAAGCTTGAGAGAAGAAAAAAAAATGCTTATAGAACAAGACGGAGGTTGAGAATGAACCTTTTTCATGGAAAGAAAAAAAAAATTCTTTACTATTATTAATTTCTTACTAAATGCTGCTAGGGTCAAAGAAGATACTTTGTATGATATCAATTCTTTTAAATTTGTTAAAAGTTCATCTTACAGCCCCAAATACATTCTATCTTCATAAATGTCCTATCTGTACTTGACAGGAATATGTATTCTGCTGTTATAATGTACAGTGTTCCATAAATACCTGTTAGGTCAAGTTGGCAAATTGTTCAGGTCTTCTGTATCAATACTGACTTGCCACCTGCTTGCTTCATCAATTACTGAGACGGGTGTTGAAGACTCCAACTGTACTGTGGATGTGTTCACTTCACCTTTCAGTTCTACCAGTTCAGCTATATGCTCCTCTGTTGTTAGGAGCTTACATGTTAGGAGACATACACTCCTAAATACATACAATCCTAAATAAGATTTTTATCTCTTCTTGAATTGACTCTACTGTTATCATAGATAGTCCTCTTTATTCCTGGTACTTTTCTTGTTCTGAAATATACTTTGTCTGATATTAATATAGACACTCCAGCTTTCTTTTGCTTAGGTTAGCATATTATATCTTTTCTATCCTTTTAATTTTTTTTCCCAGTTGTAATTAGCATATTGTGTCCAACAGTTAGAGGCAAACCACCTTGATCCTTCACTTCTGGAAATTCACTGTAGGGGGAGAGTCACTTATTAGCTATCAAGCTATAAAAATTTCCAATAACCATATTAGCTATCTACTTGGCCTCTTTTATTTCTAATCTTTGCAGCTGAGGCCACTTTACCTCTACCCACAGGCTCAGATTCACTGAGATTCTGGGACTAAACTTATTCCTCAGTAGGGGAACATAAAGAACTTTGTCTGCTCTACTCTGGCATGTTAAATAGAGCTGGCCTATCCAAATATCACATCCCCAAATCATATAAAATTATAGTCATGAGTAACAGCCCTGATAATCACCACTTGTCCAAGTTGCTCTCCCATTAGTCTTCTAACAACTGATACTCCAAATTCTTGTCTCCTCTATTTCTTAATCACCTTGCCTTTGGGTTATAGTTCTATAGGCCATTGGTCTGACAACCTGTTGCAATTCACTTCTCTAGCTGCCACCCCTCACCCGTTCTGCTTCACTTCACATTGCATTCCCTCTTTAGTATCAATGTGAACACAACTCTGATGAAGACATGCCCAACTCCAGCACTGAGGGAATCTCCCAATCTTCCCAGGCTCCTCCTGCACTCCAGATCACTTGCTTCTGGTTCTAACCTTTCCCCAAAGGATTCTAGAAGTGGAATTTTATATGTTCTCCCAAAAGTTCATCTTTTACTATGATCACTCAAATTAAATGTGTCACGTTTCTTGGAGCATTACACCTTCATTTCTTTAGTCTTTTTTTTTTAACAACTTATTGAATCAAAATTCAAATAACCATTTTAAAGTAAACAATTCAGTGGCATTTATTACATTCAGAATGTTGTGCAACCACCAACTCTATCTAGTTCCAAATCATTTCCATCACTTCAAAGTAAAACCCCTTACCTATTAAGCAATTTCTCTCCCCTTCCCTTTGAAAGTTTGGTAGAATTCAGCAGTGAAGGCATCCGGTCCTGGGCTTTTCTTTGTTGCGAGACTGTTGATTATGGATTTAATCGTGTTACTTGACAATGGTTTGTTCAAGTTTTCTATGTCATTTTGGTTCAGTCTTAGCATGGTGTATGTGTCAAGAAATTTATCCATTTCCTCTAGATTTTCAAATTTGTTGGCAACTACCAATCTGTGTCCTGTTCTCTATGGATTTATCTATTCTGAATATTTTATGTAAATGGAATCACAATATATGATCTTTTATGTCCAACTTCTTTCATTTAGCTTAAGGTTTTGGAGGTTCATCCGCATTATAGCATACAGAGCATGTACTAGTACTTTGTTTCGTTTTATGGCTGAATAATATTTCATTGCATGTACGTATGACATATATGTATAATTTGTTTATCCATCCTATCATTGACTTTTAGTCCACTTTTTTGTGAATAATGCTGCTACAAGTGTATGTACACATGTATGTCTGAGTATCAGTATTCCATTCTTTTGGGTACCTAGGAATTGAACTGCAGGGTAGATGTTTATGGTTCATTCAATAGCGAATTTTTTCTTTTTGTTTTTAGTTTTCTGATTTCTGTCCCAGATAATACTGAATAAAATAAAATCCAGCTTTGTAGTCATTCTATTTGACTTCTATGCCTGTATGGAGTTCTAGGTTTAACACAACTTTTTCTGCCTACTCCTATTACAGCCTAGCTCCTATGTGATAACAGAAAATTGAAACAAGAAATAATATCTTTTCAAATATAAACAGTTGGCTTTTCTTTTTAGCCCTCATGTTCCTGATTAAGATCACCCTAGTCTAAATTTGACAATAGAAAATATCTAAGTTGCAAGAGATACCTAAGGCTATCTATACCATCAGTAGCTGTTTTTTAAAGGGTTAATTTTTTGTCCTGGCAACTTTTCTCCTGTTGGAAAAAGGTAGGCATATACCTTAACCCATAATTCAATGTCTTAATGTAGGAAGTTTAAGCTATAGTATTTCATAAGATATAAATTGCCACATTATCAAAGCTTTAAATGAGATGATTACATACATTCTGCATGCTGGGTAATATTTTATCTGCACAATGAATAAAAACTAACTGAAATTAGGATTTAAAAATTACCCTTGGCAAAATGATGCCTATTACAAAACAGATTTCTAAAACCCAGCAGGTTTGACATATAGTGCTTATTTTCTATGACTTAGAACATAATGTAGGGAAATATTACCTACTTCTAACAAAACTGTGTAGACAGAAAAAATAAAATGTTAGAAGAAGGAGTCTCTAGGCCACAATAAAACCCCTAAGTATTATAGAACATAAAATGGGATAATTAAGAGTTAATATAGAAAACAAATTATTTAAAACAAGAGCACAAAACTTGTGCTTTCAAAAATTGGCTTAAAGGGAGGGGGATGAGAAAGGTGAGAAAAAGCACTACCAGACTCCTTACCCATTGTTGTTGGTGCTGGAGCTTCCTGATGGTATTTTCAGCTTGCTCCAGCTTAGCACTGGCCTCATCACTCTGCTGTTTGATGGTGGCCAACTCCCGTTTTATGAGGTAGTTTTCCTCAGCCTCCTGGGCTCTTGTCACTTGTCCCTTAGGACATAATTTTTGTGTGTGTAAAGCAACTTAGGATAGATTCAAGAAAGACTGCCTTGTGAGGTTTAGTTATTTACTTTGACAGGTTAAAAAAAAAAAAATCACCTCAAAGAATAGAACAGCCTAGGTAATTATTAGCTAGCAGCTTGTTATTGCCCCAGCAAATTTTGGGAAACTAACTGAAAAATTCATCTGACAATCTTAAGAACACTTCTTCTTTCAATGAATAAAAATTCAATTCATGCAATATTACTGAATTGTACATGCAGAACTAAATTTTTCAATGAAGAGTTGTTAATTTCTCAGAATCCACTGATTGCCATTTTGAAATAAATACTTTAAAAAATAAGGTTAGCTTTAGAACGTGCAAGAGGAGCCTATTTTAATAAACCAAGATAACACGCTGTTATCAAAAATTAAGTTTATATGCGCATATTACCACCCCAAAAAAATTATTTCTAGGAAAATGCATGTAAAATTGCATGCATTAATATATGAATTTCTAGGTTTAATACTTTCCTTACAAGTTAGAGAAAATGCTAAAAAAGAAAAACAAACAAACAAAAAAAACTATACCTGTATCAATCTATCTGCCAAGGAAGCACTTTCCTACAAAAGGAAAAATTCAGATAGAAATATAAGAGAAAGGAATAAAAGTGATAAAATTAGGAATAAGAAGAAATAAGCATACCCAAATTCCACCTACTTTTCATTGCTAATTAAAATTGACATTTAAATTTTAAAAGTATTTTTTACTACGTTTTTATTCTTAAACCTTAAGAAAAATATATCGAAACAAGGATAGACTGCAGAAAATCGTGTGTTTCTAGAAGAGACCAAACACATATTCCATGTGGTTTTTCCTTGGGACAAACAAATTACCTTCTTTTGAAAGTATACATACATACATCTTCATTTTAGACTTAACCATATTGTCAAACAACTTATACGAAAGGAAGAAGGAATTTGAGTAAGGAATTCCACTTAGAAAGTGTGACAGCAATTTGTGCAGCAGCAACTTCCAAAGAAACAAAGCAAGGAAGATATGACAAATGAAATTAATGAGCTGAACTTAATAAACTAACAATAACTGAGTAAGTGAATTTTTGGTTACAAAATCCAATTCATACGTAAGTATTTATAGAATTCTAAGTGCTAAGTGACACTCCTAGGCCATCTAAGCCAGTAAAAAAAGGTATTGTACTTAATTTTCTAGAAACAAAATCCGAACTTACTTTCCTACTGCATCTTTACTATTCTGAAGGTTCAATGAAATAAGAATGCTTCTCTGTGACAAGTCTCCAAAGATTAAAAAAAAAACAAAAAACTAAGAGGTATATTTTACTGTAAACTAGGTATTTATTAGAAAAAAAAAAAAGGAATAATTAAAATAACTTGAAAACAATTAAGATCAACCTTCTTGTGGAGTCACCAAAAAGGTAGGATTATCCCTAAAGAATCTCTAATATGATGAGGGAAATATAGGAAAACTATTTTTGACTAATATAATGTATCTGCAATTATTATACAAAACAGACACATAATAAACATCCTGTCCTTATGCACTGCTATTTAACATGAAATCATCAATATTTTTCAAATAAGACAGATACTGTCAACTATTCATATTTCCATTTATTTCTTTCTTGAATATTTACCTATAAAATAAAAGCACCAACAGTTTGTGAATTCAGATATTTTTCTTTTAATACAGCAAAATTCTTAAACTATACTTTTATTATTCAATTCATTCATATAGCATCAGAAATACAAGTACAAAAGACATTACATCAAAAGCACAATATGAAAGATAGGCAAAATTCTCACATTTGCCCAGTTATTTTATATGAAAGAGAAGAAGAGGTAACAAGTAGATATTAAAATAATTCTAAGAACCAAAAGTTTATGCACAATTCTTATGCGTTGAAAACTCAATGTGAGAATGAATTTTCATATAAGAAAACAGTCAGTCACTTTGACTAAATTTAAAGCAACCTCAGGCCTTAAAGCAATCATTGCCACATGCAACATGTGCTAGAAGTTAGGGCAGCATTTGAAACTCATCTTTAAAATGCTGTGTCGGAATGGATCCCCAACTGGATTCTAAAAGAACATACTTTTTAGAGATTATTCCTAAAGAAAACAAATAGCATCAATATGTTACTCTAATAATAACCTTAGTTAAAACTTAAAACATGAAAGTTGAAGAACTAGTATGGACAAATTTTTATTAAGAGCAAGTTATTTGGTTAAACAATAAGCTAGGCAAGGTAAGCAGTCAATACTACAACTTACGGGTCATATATGCCAGATTCTTTGAGGATTTACTTAAAATATACAGAAAAAATACTATGCATTTAACAGAAGCTTGTGTAAGTAGTCATTTACTTACTTTTTCTAATGTTTCAATGCGCTGTTTTAAAAGTCTATTTTCTGTGCGTAACCTCTGCCAAAAAAAAAAAGTTTTGTTTGTAAGCAATCTCGAGAGGAAGATTACTAAATCACAGTTCTGAAAGTGTACCACCTTTTATAAATAAGGAAAGACCATATGTGAAATTGTTAGAGGCTCAAAATAAGAAATACATGGCAAAGGAAATGATCACATTTATCATTTCAGCTGTGATTAAATTCTAAATGTAAACTACAGTACATACACAAATAACCCTTCTTTTCTATATTTACCATAATTACTAATAATCAATATTTTCTTATGTTTTAACTCTCCATTAGATAGAAAAGATTCTAACTTGCCTATCTCCTACAGAGCCTACCTATATAATTAGTATTGAGATTGCAGATGAAAGAATAGATGACAAGCTGCAAAATGACTTACATTCTGAAAATATAAAATAACTTGTGAATTGTTTTCTACTTAACAAAATTAAAAGCTCGTTACTGCATTTTTTCATAGTTTAAAAAGAAAAACCAGATTTTAAAAAAAATTTACCTAGTTTTTGAGTGCCTGACTCCCCAAAACTTTCAAATTACTGTCACTAAGAATTAAATCTAAATCACTCTACATTAAAATCATTTTTTTATACATTCCACCAATATTATTTTTAATCCGCCATATGTTATCCCTTCATTTTCAAATCCCTTATATGTTGTTCCTTCAATTTGTCATCACTCAAATTTCAACCCCCCTCATACTTTTATGTAGCAATTTGTTGGTTTTTTGTTTTGCTTTTTGGCAGCTCGCCAGTATGGGGATCTGAACCCTTGACCTTGGTGTTACAAGGCTGTGCTCTAATCAACCAAGCTAACGAGCCAGACCTATGCCAATTTGTTTCTGAGCTCAATCCAGCCTTCTTCCAAACCTGCCTTCCTCAAAATTTCTCCGAAAAAATTTCTTCCTCAGAAAATTCTTCCATTGATTCAATCTATTCTTTTTGCCAATAAAGACTTAAATACTGTATACTTTATATAGCATATAATGTCTCAGTTCAGGGAAATAAAAGATTCTATGAATTATGGTATCTTATTAAGTAGATCATCAATTGGAACAATTCTTTGAGTTATTACAAAGATACTTTGCAAATTAAATTTTCTTGTTCCATCACTAAAACATATTTAGATGATTTGAAATGGACATTATGTATAATCCTAGACTACAAAATAACAGCCTGAGGAGTAGAAAATGTTTCTCATTTTTTGGCTACTCTTACTATGTGCAGCTTAGTGGTCTACACAAATAAGCAATTATTAAATGCTGTTAGTTTGGAAAATCAAAGAAACATAAAGGATTCTCAAAATGTTCTCAATCATATTTCATCAACAAAAAGTAACATTTTGTTTATCCTAAAAGATTTAGAAAATTAGAGTCCAGCCAGACATCTGAGTGAATAAATTAGTTACAATAAAAATAATGCCAATATAATAAAATTTAGAACTAAAAACATTCACCTGGATTTCCTCCCCCAGCCCTTTTAAATCTTCTAAAATCTGTTTAGCTATACACAAAAATCTAATTTTTCCCCCAACACTTACCCAAATATCTTAATACCACTTTTTAAATAAATCATCAACTCCTCATTTGTAATATCTACTTCATCATGAATTGATAAATAGACTTTTATGGCTTACCGACCATTTCAGGGTTACCTTTAAGTTTCAAGTCTTACTAATTAAAAAAAAAAAAAAAAAAAAAAAAAAAAAAAAAAAAAGGTATCATAGTATTTTGGTAATTATAGCTTTGCAATTCTTTTAAATGTCTGGTAGAGCTAATTTCCCCCATTCCTATATTGTTTTATTTATCCTCCCCAAATGCCAATTACTAGTATAACTAAAGTTGTTAAGAGACTGAGTTTTGAACTTAGGCAGATTTAGGTTCAAATCCTCATTTTACAATGAAACCTGTGCATGTCATTCAATGCCTTAGAATCTCCATTTCCTCATCTAGAAAATTACAGTTGTAAAACCTTCAAGGATATCAGGAAAATTAAATGATAGCATAGTGCCTAACATATACCAAACACTCAAGTAATAAGTACTACTCACAATATTTTTGAGGTTAGGCATGAATATTGTTTTATTAGTTTCATCTATTCTTTAGAACTATTCTTTAGACTTACTCTGGAATTTCACAAGGAATTAAATTTGAATTTGTTAATATGTACTTTCTTAGGAAATTCATATCTTTATATAACATGGAGTTATTTTTCTCTCTCTTTACTCATTTTTTAAAACGTTTATATGTACAGTTTTTTTTTTCAGTATTTGTTGGGTTCTATCCCATTTTTCATTTGGGTTATCCCTAGACATGCTTTTATTTTTATTTTAAATGAAATTTCTGTTTCTAAGATATTTTTGAACTGTTTATTGCTGATATATATGAAAGTTAATAACTAAAATCTACCACTTGACTGACTTCTCATTAATTTTTTAATATCTTCCTCAAATTTTCTAGAATGTTTTCTAAACTTTAAAGTGAAAACTGCAAGAAAGATAACTAAAAATGGCTATATAAAAATGTACACCCTGTACATTAAAAAAAAGAGAGAGCGAGACTTTTTGACCTAAATTAGAAATGAAAAAATGAAACTAACAGTGAGAGCAAGAATTGAAATACCAAGTATTGGCAAAATAGCAGTGAAATGGAAACTCCCTGCTAAGAAAAATATATCCTGAAAACATTCTTTAGGAAATTTACTTAATACCCATCAAAGCCTTAAAAATGCTAATATCCAATAATTCAATAATTCTACTTTTTACAAGTAGAACTTACTGGCACTATTTTATAACAGTAGGTGCTAAAAAATTTTATATACAAAGACACTTAGCTATGGTCATTATTTTTAATAATAAAAAATGAAAAACAACCTAAATATCCCAAAACAGGGGAATCAAAGTTGCAAACAACCCACTCTTCATCATCATCATCTATTCTTTCCAGCTTATTCACTTTATAAAGTAATCCAACCCCAACAATCCTTTTAATTAGGACAATCTCGTGATCCTAACAACTTTTCATTGTCCCTCAACCCCTGAGGTCTTCTCTTCCCTCTTTACCAAGTTTAATTTCCAGTCATTATACACCCTGCTTATCTTTTATCTCCCTTTGCTCCTCTCCCCCTTAGTAGCATACATGCCTGATGAAATCACTACTCTGGATTGACTCTCTGACAATTAACTCTGTGTCTGTCTGTACCTATACTGGTAAATTTGACTGAAGAAAAACAAAACCATGATGTTTATTTAAATTAATGATCAGGCCGGCCCCGTAGCACACTCGGGAGAGTGCGGCGCTGGGAGCGCAGCAACGCTCCCGCCGCGGGTTCAGATCCTATATAGGACTGGCCGGTGCGCTCACTGGCTGAGCGCGGTGTACGCGACTCCACACCAAAGAGTTGCGATCCCCTTACTGGTCACGAAAAAGACAAATTAATTAATCAATCAATCAATCAATCAATTAATTAATTAATTAATGATCATTAAATTCAGTTGGACTCTTAATGCTTCCTAGCAATAATAATGCAATGTATTTCCTAAGTCAATTCCTTCCCCCACCCTCCTAGATCACTATTTCATACTTACTCCTCTTTCTTCAAACCAGCAAACCCTCCAGGCCATTGTCACTCAGCTGATAATCTTTCTTGCAATTTCACTGAAAAAACTGAAGCAATCAGAAAAGAACTTCACAAGCTCCCAAACCACATCCTACATCTAACCTGCATTTCTGCCCATGTGTTTTACTTTATCTCCTGTTACTGCGGACAATCTATTTCATTACACTAAGTTAAGTCTCCTATCTATGCACTAAATCCCATACTCTCCCGACTCCGGCAATTATCCTTGCTCATTCATAATCATCAATTTTTTCCACTTGATTATCACGATAAAAGCTTGTAGTTATCCCTCCCATCTAAAACCCAAAAAAACCTTACATCACTACCCTCTCTAGCTACTGTCCCATTCCTTTTTTACAGTAAATTCCTCAAAAAATATCTCCAATTTTTCTTTCATTCCAGTCAGGTTTTAGTACTCACCACTTCTCAGCTCTTTTCCAACTGTTGCCATTCTGATAAACCCAATGGTTATTTCTCCAGCCTCATCTCACAAAAAATATCTTTGGCATGTAACACAGTAAATACTTCTTTTTCTGAAACACTTTCCCTTGGTTTCCTGGACACTACATTCACTTGGTTTTGTCCTACTTTTCTCCTGACTGGCTGCTTCCTCCTCATCTTCCTACCTTTAAATGATGGCTTACTCTTAGGCTTATTCACCAGGTAATCTCATCCATTCTCATGGCTTTCAATACCATCATACTACCAATAACTGCCAAATTTATATTTTGAGCCTGTCTTCTCTTAACTTCAGATTTGAATATTCAAGGGGCTACCTAGACATCTCCTAGGCATCGCATTCTCAAAATATCCAAAATTGAGCTCTTGATATTCCCACCCAAACCAGATCCTCCTGTAGTCGTCTCAATCTCAGGTAATGGGAACTCCATTTTCCTAACTACTCAAGCTAAAAAGCTTGATTCCTCTCCCTCTCACATCTCTACATTCAACCTATCAGCTTTACCTTTAAAATCTATTCAGAATCCAACTAATTCTTACCACTTTAGTCCAAACCACCATCTTTTGCCTGCATTACTTCATCAGCCTTCTAGTCAATCTTCCTGCTTCTCCTCTCATCCCCCGCAATTTACTCTAACTATAGCAGCCAAACGGATCAACTAAAAACTTAAGTCAGTTCTTGTTCTTCTCTACTGAAAACTCCCAGTGGCTTCCATCTCACCAGAGTAGAAGCCAAAATCATTACCACGGTCGACAGCACCCTACATTACCTGCAACCTGCTCTACCTTACCTCCTATCATTTTTCTCATCATGTTGTCCCATCCACAGTGCCTCCTTACTGTTGGCCACCAGGCACAATTCTGACCAGGTTCTGCCCTTCCAGAAAGACACATATCTAGCTTGCACTTCCCTCGGGTCTTTATTCAAAAATCACCTGGTCAGCTTCTCTAAATTTCCAACCCAAACATTACCATTTTATATTACTACTCCCTGAGGTATTTTTTTCTCCTTAACACTTATCACCAATACCATACGTTTTACGTTTATTGTATGATTTACATATCAGAATGTTAGCTCCATGAGGACAGGAATTGGTCTGTTTCATAACCACATCTCAAGTGCCTAGAACAGTGCTTGGGCATGTAGTAGGCACTATAAGTTTTGCCTGTTAAATGAATCAATTATCAAATAAATTATGCTATTGTGCCTCCAGTGAATATTACTATGTAGCTGTTAGTATTTTAATGAAAAAACTGTAATGCCACAAAATAATGGGTATCTGAACTCTTACATGACAAATACATCAAAGTTTCTCTTGGAAAGCAGCACACTACATATGTTGAAGAACAAATATGGGCCTTAGAATAACTAATAAATGAGAGTTCAAATGCTTGACTTTCACTGTTTTCTAGCAACATGACCACTGGCATATTAGTTGAGCTTTCTGAAGCTTAGTTTCTTCACAGAAAAATGAGGATAAGAACCCTTTTATAGGCTGTTTTAAGAATAAGGAAAGAGACTGCATGTAAATGACACATCACATAATAAATGTTAAATAAATGTGAGCTGATTCAATTCAATACCTCACAATGATTGTTAAATATAATTCCTGGACAACTTAGATGATATTTATCATGCTTCCTTTCTTATGCCAGGCAGCAGATACACGAATGTTTTTATAGTATTCTCTGGCTTTCAGCATATCTTAAATATTTCACAATTTTTGAAAAAGGAAGAAATATTTAACTTCTGACTAATATTCAGTCAGAATTCCTAACACCTCCCATTTGCAGGGCTTTAGACCTCTATGTCCCAAAGCACACATTTAAATATGTAAATTAGACTATCAGTTTGTATGCCTGTCTAAAGTAGAGTGGGGGAATAATGGTTTTTCTTTTTTAAAGATTTGTAGATTACCCTAATATAAGCTAGAATTTTAATATTCTTACCTCCTCCCCCTCAGGTGGAGCATCAATAGATTGGAAGAAGATACTGATAAAGATGTTTCTAGTAACAAAAAATTTCACACAGTAAAATGTACGATTCTCCATATGAAGCCAGTATTATCAAAACCTTCCTATAACACTTTTAGAAAAGGGGTGGAAAAAATACTTAAAAGTTACATCTTGACTAGAGAGCTCACTGACAGATATAATTCTTAGAATAAAAGGTCACCACTGCAAAGGTCTTAGAATTTTATAAAATAAAAACAACAGAGACCTTAAACACATTTCACAACACCAAAGGCTGATTTTATACCTCCATATAAAAACATCAAATAATTTGATGATCTTACTATTTGCCTGTGCAGAGAATGGTACAAAACTATCTCCCTGAAGGCTTTTGAGGAGGACGAAGGCAAGAAAGTATTAGTTTAACATAACCCATTCCCTTGTAAAAGAGAACTGCAGGGGAGGGAAGGAGTGTGAGTAAGAAGTGGCATTTCCCATTTTACAACAAGACTCAATTAATGCATGGCTAATGAATTATAAATAATGTGATCATCTGATCATGACTGAGATGAGCTGTCAGGCCCAAGTCAAAAATTGGACAGACCCAAGTCACTCAAAAACTGTTTTGGTTTTGTCCTTTGGGGTTAGGGAGAGGGAAGAAAGAGATAAAAATGATAAGAAAGAACTACGTGGAAACAAGATTACAAATGTGATCATCTGATCATGACTGAGATGAGCTGTCAGGCCCAAGTCAAAAATCGGACAGACCCAAGTCACTCAAAAACTGTTTTGGTTTTGTCCTTTGGGGGTAGGGAGAGGGAAGAAAGAGATAAAAATGATAAGAAAGAACTACGTGGAAACAAGATTACAAAAAAATGAACAGATTACCTTTGAAGTCAGCATACTTTATCTGATAAGTTTTACTAACTTTTTAAACTTTTTTTTCCCCAAATTCTTCTCCATAAACAATTTTATGCCATCTGCCTGAGACTCATGGAGCTAGTATTCAAAATTATTTTGTGAGGAAAATGAACTATGACTTTCCCAAAGTATGAAAAAAACTGCAAATGTAGGCTAAAGACTACTAAAGTTTTTTGTTGTTGTTTTCTGAAAATGCCTTTTGGTGTTTCTATATTCATGTAACAGTTTTATAAGAAACTTCTTCAAGAGCAATGATTGTTCACAGAACTGTGTTTTTTTGTTCAATCACATAGCATGGTGAAATGAACAGGATGGCTTCCCCATCCTCAGATTCTTGATTTGTCGTTCCAAATACTTATGGTACGCGATAACCCATACTCTCTCCTCACTCATCAGGATGATGTACTTTTTACTTTCAGTAGGTTGAAGTGCAGGATATGATTTAGTATTACCCTTACTCACGGTACGTAAAAGAAAAGCAAATGGTAGAGCAGAAGTTGGGTGACAGAATTAAAAAAGGCGGGGAGAGGAGGGAAAAACATCCTCGGTTGTCTTTTCTCTCTCCTTCTATGAAAAATACAAAAGAATCTGTTTCCAATGTATAGGGAATAGGTGATAGAAATGTGAATAGAGCATCTAAAAAAGGGAAGACAGAGTTGGTAAGAAAGAGTTCACAGAGAAAAATAGGACAGACTATTTCCCAGGAGGCTTTTGAGGAAGATCAAAACAAGAAAGAATACTAGTTTAACAGAATCCATTCCATTGAAAAGGGACCTACGGGATGTAAGAAAGTGATATTTTATAGCAAGGTTCAATTAACACATGGCTAATTAATTGTAAATAAGGTGGTCATCTGATGTCTTACCAGGTCCAAGTCAAAAATCAGACACAACCCAAACATAAAGTTAAAAGGGGGGAGGGGAAGGGAGTCACTCAATAAAAATTATTTTATTTTTGACCTTCTGAAATTAGGGGGTAAAGAGATTAGAAATTGGATCAGCCAATCCCTGAGTTCCTTGACTCATGCTCCTACTCATCATCCCCATCCTGCAATATCAGCATAAAAGCTAACACAACTTTTCTCAAGTCCCAGCTCCAACAATGCCAAAGATCCTCAACTAAATAATTTCTTGGCTTATGGGGAAACCAATAAGAATTTTAGGGTGATATAGGGTATTCGTAGGCCCTTCAAATTGAAAATCTACCTGTTTCTCTGGAAAGTAGTTGTTCAAAAGTATAACCCTTGCTTAGAGAAGAAAAAGTTGTGTTCGTCAAAGATTCCTGCGGCTCTAAGGTGGCCATAATTAGTTCTAGTGTAATGATTTGCTCTATTTAGTCTGCCTCAGATTATACTGCTACTAGTCTCAGCATAGAATGTGTCATAGACTATCTATCTTCTCTGCCACTTTTTAAAATATGCTTAAGTGGAAAGATAATAAAAGTTTCCCCATGGGGGGAAAAAAATTTCCCCATGGAAGTATTTTCTCTTGATGACCCACCAACAACTCTAGAAAAAGGGAAGAGCTGCTCTATTTCACATTGGAATGAAAGCCACTTCAGTCCCATTATTCTGCCTTTTGAAATATCTATTTTTAACCATAATCTAATAGGATGATAAATAAATTTATCTATAAAGTAAATACAAACTTCACTGCTAAATTTACTGCAAAGGGGTAACAATATATCAACATTATCTAACATCTATTGCCAAATAATTTCAATCAACTTATCGTCAGCACTTAAAAAGCCCTGAAATGCTTACTTTAATTTCAACTTGCTCTTCCATTTCTTTAGTTTTTATTGTAGTATATTCCTTCTCGAGCCTAAGAAGAAGAAGAAAGTTAAAGATATGTTTTCATTCAAAAGTAGTTATTAAATTATAAGATTTAAAAATAAATATTAACACAAAATATAATTTCTTGAGTTTCCCCCAGCTTATAACTTGAGATACTTGATATGAGAAAAATCACCTGAATAGTTTACAAAAAATCACTTCACAATTGACAAAAATAAGAAAACTATACAAAAGTAAAGTTTAGAAAATGAAATATATAAAGCAACAAACAGAAAACTTAGTTTACAGATTCTATTCAGACTTAAACTTACAAAAGAACCATCTATCCTTTCCCCTCAAATTAAAACATACCTGTACAGTTCAACTGGCTGTCAACAAAAAAATCCTGGTACAAAAACTGGCTTAAAATATTTTAGTGAGAGAAAAGGGACAACTCTTTCTTACAGAAGAATTTCAATTAATAAATGTAGAAGGAATGAGGTAAATATAAAAATCACTGTTAGAATTCCACAATAATAATTGCCACAGGCAAGAACTACCAATGAATGCTAAAATTAGTATGTCAAAGTATAAGCATACTCTCAAACTATCTCTCCCAAAATATTTAGTAAGTAGTAAGGAAAACAGTATATTTACAATACAGTAAGGGAAAACAGTATTAAACATTATATTTAGTAAGTACTAAGGGAAAACAGTATATGTGCAATATAGTTACATTAATACTTGATAGAGTTTGGGGCCGGCCCGGTGGCACACTGCTACATACAGTAAGGGAAAACAGTATTAAACATTATATTTAGTAAGTACTAAGGGAAAACAGTATACGTGCAATATAGTTACATTAATACTTGATAGAGTTTGGGGCCGGCCCGGTGGCACACTGCTACAGTGCGCCGCTTGGGAAGCGTGGAGGCGCTCCCGCCGAGGGTTCAGATCCCACATGCAGACCGGCCGCTCACTGGCTGAGCGAGGTGCGGGAGTAACACCGAGGGTTGCGATCCCGTGGCCGGTCCCGGTCCGGTACGGGCGCGACACTGAGGGTTGCGATCCGTTGCCGGTCACGAAAAAAGACAAAAAGGAAACAAAAAAAAAATACTTGATAGAGTTTGGATGTGTTGTCCCCACCAAAACTCATGCAGAAATCTGATCCCGAATGTGGCAGTGTTGGGAGCCTTTTGAGTCATGAGGGCGGATCCCTCATGAATTGATTAAGGCTCTCCCTGGGGGTGGGGGGCCTGAGTGAAATCTTGCTCTATTAGTTCGAGAGCTGGTTGTTTAAAAGACCCTGGCACTTGGGGGCCGGCATGTGGCTCACTCGGGAGAGTGCGGTGCTGATAACACCAAGGCCTCGGGTTCGGATCCCATATAGGGATGGCCGGTTTGCTCACTAGGTGAGTGTGGTGCTGACAACACCAAGTCAAGGCTTAAGATCCCCTTACC